TAATAGTATTATTGTGTTGCTAAGTTAAAATGAAAACATATCCAAGAGAAGAGCGTATTGACATGATTTTCACCCTTGGAGAATGTCATAAAAATGGTTTATTGGCTTCTCGAGTTTATGCTCAAAAGTTTCCTGAAAGAAATCATGCTAAGCCAACAGCTTTTAATCGCTTTTTACTCCAATTTGAGGAAACTGGGAGTGTCAATTATAAAAAACCAATTACAAGGAAATCCGTCACTGAAGATGAAGAAAATGTTTTCGCGGTAATTGGTTCATCGAAAATTCCAATGCTAGTCAAAATCTAATATCCAAAATACTAACATTAGTCAATCAATTATTTCCAGAATTATCAAAAAGCACAACTATTATCCGTATAAAATTCAGCTTTGCCAAGAACTTTATGGATATGATTTTAAAAACCGAACTGAGTTTTGCATGTGGGTGTTAGATAAAGTGGCAGAAAATAAAAAGTTTTTCGAAAATGTGTTATTTAGTGATGAATGTACTTTTCATAACAATGGTCTCGTGAATAGACACAACTTTCATTATTATTCTGATTTGAATCCGCGCTCATACAGCGTCATGAAAAATCAAAATAGATGGTCAGTTAATGTGTGGGGTGGAATACTGGGGCAATATTTAATTGGATCCTATTTTTTTGTAGGACATCTAAATGGTTTGATGTTTCTCGAGTTTCTAATAAACCATCTCTCAATATTATTAGAAGAAGTCCCTTTCAATATTAGAATCAACATGTGGCTTCAATTGGATGGACCTCCGCCTCATTATCACTGCGAAGTTCGGCAATTTTTAAATGACAACTTTCAAAACAGGTGGATTGGCAGAAATGCAGACAAATAATTTGCCTTTGTTTCATGTTATTGTTGATATGTTATTTAACCTTTTTATTAAAAAAAAACACCAAATGGTGCACAGAACCATTATTTGGTGTATTTTGTAAAAAGGCAAAAACTTAGTTATCAACATCCTAGTATCATTCGATAGGTAATTAAAAATTGAATTTCCTGGTAGGC